GAGGGGCTTCCACAGTCTCCTGCGGCCATGGGCGCTGCCGGGGTGCCCCTCTGCCAGTCGTATGCCGGCCCCGCGTTAGTAGGCAAGTAGAGGTAACGTGGATATCGAAGTCTAACTTGCACGTTATGCTTCCTGGACAGATATGCAATATGATGAAGATGATGATGAAATCACTCCTGACTTGTGGCAAGAAGCATGCTGGATTGTTATTAGGTGACTTTCTAAAATTCACTGTTCTTTACGCTTTGGGTCTTAAAGGTAGTATCTAGTTTGCTAGCAACACGTGATGGAAACGCAAGAATTGTTTCTACTAAATAACATGTTTCGTTACTTTTTGAACAGAAGGGCTTTAAGCAGAAACAGCAAGGTTTTGACTGCTGGCCCTGTATATACACTGTTAGGGATTAAGAAGCCCTACTTACTCTCAGTTCAGCTAGGCTATCTGAACTGAAGTACGAAATTATTTTGATCCCAAATCACGCGCATCATCTTGCCCGTTACTCTTGCAGTGCGTGCTGACATTAGGAGATCAATACTTAGCAGTTTGCCATATTAGTGTTTTATTAGTACTACATGAAGGCCCAGGCTCTGCAGCTTCTTGCGCCTCTGAGAGAGTGGAAGGCTGTGTGGAACTAGGCAAAAAGTGTTTCTCTTTGTGTCTTAGAGCAGCAGTTCCCAAACGGAAGGGCGTACCTGCAGCGCTAGACCTGTAGCCTCTCTGGGTAGAGAGTAGGGATGAGAAACCTTGGAGGCAGAAGGAGGTCCTTTCTCTTGTCTGGCAGCCTGGTGATGAGCGTTAAATTTATTCTGAATCAGGTGGGAGGGAACTGGGACAAATCCTTCAGCTGGGGCTAGAGCTCACTCCCAGTAAGGATTTAGGTTGCCCTTTCCTTCCCTTCCTCCTTCCTTTTGTGCAATGGCAGGCTGTGCTGACAGGGTGCACTGTGGCAGCGGCACAATAGGCAAGGCTATGTTTCCGTTCTTGGAGAAGCCTGAAGTCACTGATAGGGAGGTAGTTGTTACAAGTTTTCTGCAGAGGTCTTGTAGGTGAAGGAGCAAAAGCTGGAGTAAGTAAGGGTTCCCTGGCTGGCTTCAGGAATGCAGGGTCGTGGGAGGAGAGGAGCTTGCTGGCAGGAGCTAATGCAGTGAACGTGTTTAGATCATCCCATTAGAAGCTAGGCTGCGAGCTTGGCATTCGGGCTTGGATAGCTACAATTGGAGTGTTTTGGTAGGTGAAACAAAGGTTAGACGGAATCCAGAAGCTGCTGGAAGGGGTGAAGCTGGGAATTTCTGTGTGGCTGGAACAGAGGTGATCTGAGCTAAGAAAAGTTCTGAGAACTGTTGTCTTGAATGAGGGGCCTACAATTGTATGCTCTCAGTTTACTGCAGCTTGGGAAATGATCTGCAGCAAAGTAATTTGTCATGTGCATTGTAGAAGATATTAGCTGAAGCTACCTTTACTGAGGTTTTAAGTCATCCTGTTTCACTTCTAATTTGAGATAAACTGCGCATACAGCCATGGCTTAACCAAGAAGGGGCAGCAAGTCTGTCACTTTGTCGTGTCTATGCCTTCAAATACTGAGAGAAAAAATTTAAGTTTTTAACAGTCCTGAGCAGCTGTGTTTGAAACTTGTGCCTCAAGAAAAGTCAATGCTTGTATTTTGATATTGTATTCCAGGACTCCTGAAGGTTTGATAATAAACAAATCTTGAACTTGTCGATATGTGGAGTACGTGAGTTAACTTAAGAGCTCTTCTTGAATAATATACTTTTTTTTTTTTTTTTTTAGCTCCTACTTTGATGAGAAAGGCCTAGTCAGGCAGCAGCTGGATTCTTTTGATGAGTTTATTCAGATGTCTGTGCAGAGAATTGTTGAAGATGCTCCACCAATTGATTTGCAAGCTGAAGCCCAGCATGCCACAGGAGAAGTGGAAGAGCCAGTAAGTGGAGACCCTGCAGAGCTATTTTGGTTTTGCAATGCAAAATGATTTTCCTTTATTTAGATGGGTTTTATTCCCTCCCCTCTCAAGAGTCAGAAATAAGTCAGAGGTCTGACACTGCTCCTGGAGTGAATGGGCAGACAGGTGAAATGTCTGGATTCTATGAGGTACACGCCCAAGTTTTCAAGTAGTCAAGCTTACTGCCGAGAAAAACATACAAGAGCATTGTTATGCGTGAATCCCGACTTTCCTCTCCTGTAGAGTTAGTGACTCTTTGAGTTGAGGAATGACCGATTGGCTGCTGTAGTTCATCCTGTCATTTACTGTGTGATACCACTCAAGACTGGGAGCAAGCATCACTGATAGGAATGTGGCAGAACAAGACAGCTAGCCAAAAACAAACCTTATTTTGATGGGATTTTGCATTTTCAATAACTTTATCATGGCAGGAGAAGATTATGGCTAAAATGTTCTCTGCTAGCTTTCTTCATCTAAAGTTAGGCCTGGGTTTTCGAAAGGTGCATTGCTTATCGTCTCCCATTAGCACCGTGTAACAAAGGAGAACAAATTGTCTAAGGTCTGTTCTGTGTGATGGCCCTTGACAAATTGTGTGTACCTTCTCTGTGGGCCACCGTGCCCTCATCTGTATACCCCTTATGGTGTTTTGATCCCCATTGTGCAGGTGCGAAGAGCGATGATCCGATCCCCTACTATCCCTACCTTGCTGCTTCCCTAGTAGAGATTTAAAATAACTTTAACAGCTCAATTTGTTTCACAGTCTGACTGTCCACTTACATTTTTTCTGTAGGCAAACAGAGCCTACAGAATAGCCTACATAGCTATTCTCTATACAGAGAATAGCTAAGATTTCTTTCTGTTTCTTGATTGGACATACAGTTCATAAACTTTTTTCTGACAATAATTCCCCTTGATGGTCCCTCTATTATTCAGTGTATATCATCCCGAGTTCTGCAGGTGTGCGATTTGTAAAAAGACCTTTGCTGTGTGCAGTTAACGTGCACATCACAAGCATGTTCTATGCCTGTGTTCTTCTCAACCAAAATATGGTGTTGAACTTTCTCAAATCAGAGAGCCTAGGTTTCTTATTTTTACCTTATTTTTATTCTTATCTCTTATTTTAAAGTTTTTAGGGTTAGGTCGAGATGCAAGAAAAGGGAAACCTGCTTTTTCCTTTAGGCTCACTTAGAGACAAGCTCTTGCCACTTGACTCATTCAAGGAGACTTTTTGATTCTTCTTCCTCTCGCTGCTTCCCAGTCTTGGAATTTGAAGGTGATTTAGGGTGGATTTATAGCACACAGGAAGGCTTAACAACTGTCCTGAGCGACAGGA